AATTTGGGAATGCCGCAGCCATTGTAGATCGTTCGTACCACAGAGCGGAAATCACGGAAGATTATTATCGATATCCGCCGGATCTGACACATCATAATCAGCCTCTCATTTTATAGAATGTTCACTTTGTCTGGTTTTGTTGCAGTCTGCCCCATTGATGGGCAAACTGGCTCTCCCTGAATTACAATAAAAGAAAAAGGAATGCCATGTAGATGTAATTAATCTAAACTCCATCAAATAATAAAAAAGAAGATTGAACAAAAAAAGTCCTAAATATTGGTAAGGCAATTTTAATTGGAGAAAATGGGATGCAATTCCATTACCAGCATGTAGTGAATATGAATATAATTAAATCAATCAAAACACAATGTGAGCTTGTTTAGTAAATGTGGATATAGTTTATGCTAAAAACAGCTTAGATATAATAACTTTTTTTAGCTCAGTACATATACATAGCCAATCTCAATAAGTCAGCCGACCGGGTTTGAGGTCGACTTATCGAGAATTACATGATAAAGCCTTTTAATTATAATTAAGTCTTCTATTAATACATAGTAGTGATAATAAAATAATCTTGCAACTGGCTTGTTTTAGAAATCGAGAGTTTTTTTCTTAAGAGTCTTTTATCCTTGATAATATAGAACTATTTACTATTACGCTTAAACTATTCGATTACTGTAATAAATATGGACGCTTGCTAAAGCTATGTTATCTGAAATTATAATTAATCTTCTTATACTTCTGCTTTAATTATAATCATATGAACTAATAACTGTATACTGTTTTAATTGTGTGAACGTGTTGTAAAGCAGCGATTTTAACAACGTAATGGTAATAAGTGAGATCTGTGATCGATCACTTAAAGTTGAGGAATGTGTTTTGGGGCAGACTTACCGAGATGTGTTCGCATTTATCGAGAATTTACATATTAATATATTGGTTGAGATTGAGTATGGCTGGGTATGTTGTGGGTAGTTTAATTTTTGTGACCACAATTATTGTTATCTTTGAGAACAGAACTTTAATAGTGAATTCTTGGGTTTTGAAAAGATTACTTGACACTAATACGGATATTGATTGAAAGTAGTGGTCAAAATTTTCACAAATAAACTTTGTTGCCTGTGTATGTTTTAATAGTATTAATAAAATTTGCGCTGATATATTTCTCTATCATACGCATATTGGTATCAACTTTTTTGCTTGGACCATACAAGCTTCAGCTATATTCGGTTTTTTCTGTACGTTTTCTCCTATCTGATTTTGCTGCTCATTTGAGACCCTAACTAAAAGACAAAGTTAAAGGAGATAAGAGAAACTAACGAATTATATGAATTTGGACAACAGAAATTAAAGGGTGCAGTAGCGAGAAAACCAGATGACTCACTTCTATGTTGGAAATAACATTACTCTACTTTACGTACAGCAACGTGAGCGAGTTTTTGCTGCAAAAAACGCACCTGACCATCCCACATCGCTTTCTCCTCCTCCAGCCGTTTCTTCTCCGCCTCCAGCATCTCCCACAACAGCTGCTGCCCTCCGTTCATTCCTCCGTTCACCCACATCTTCCTCAGATTCAACAACAGCTTCCCTTGCGCTTCGCCTTCTTCAAACTTTTGTATTATAGCCTTCGCCTCTCGTACTTCCTCTTGCGCCTTCCCCAACAGGTCTCGTATTTCTTGAATGCCTTCGTTTCGACGCTTCGTATCCATCATTTGCAGTGTAAAAATAGCGCTGGTTAACTTATCATTGAACAAACGTTGTGTTCAAAGGAATACAAAATTCCGTCAAAATTTTATTTAGTATTCTATACTGAATCGATAGATAAGACGTGCAATGTAAAAATATCATTTGGAAGAGACTCAAAAATTGTTCTTCAAAAATCCACTTGATTATTACGTAGAACTGAGTTTCAAGGGCTTGGAGTTTCCCGAAGGGACATGAGATGTAAATTTTGGAGATACAGCAAGACCTTGTTGACAGATGACTTACTTAATACCGAGAAAATGCCTATAGTAATCTTTCGGTCGAGTAAACTCGGTTCTCAAAGTTAAAAAAGTAAATAAATATTTTTTCCAGACTTGCGCGCGTTTTCCAACTATACATTCTTTAAAGTTTCTGAACCATTGCATCTTAACGCCGACACTATGAATGAGCTTCTATTATAAAAACAAAATACAATGATTTTCTATTATTACTAGTTTAATAGGGAAAGCAGGCACAACGACGCTATTGATAAACTGTCAACGAACTCCATTTTTTTGACCGGTAGATTGAAATGTTCAATACAATAGTTTGCATAAGTCATATGAAGATGTTTCTGGAACAAGCGAAGCTTCATATGCTGTATTTATAAGAACAATTCTAGTTGGAATTCTTAACGTCTACAGATCCATAGCAAATTATCTGCTCCTTGAACAGAAACTAATCATGGGAGAATACGGAAAACGAGCTTACTGGTTTCGCGATTAAGAAGGTTAGTCTGTTCATTGGTATACTGAAGCGCAAAGAGAAGAAACTTAATTCAATTGACATACTGTTTATTTGGTATTAATTTCAATATCTATTGAGACATTTACGTCGAAAATAGTCATATAATTGCAAGTGTATTTTACGATCGCGTCCGCGTTCGTCCAAAAGCCATTTAGTTTCATCGAATTGAAAAGAAAAGGGCATGAATACCTACACTTGAAAATTGGTCTTCTGTATTGTCTACCAGGAAGAGAGCTGATACATCGTAATAACGTCTTCCTTATTAAAAATCATATTCTAATTTTTTCCTTATCACATGGTTACATTGCATGTGTACTAACTTGCCAGTCATGTTATCGAATAAAAGTCACTCTGCCTTCTTTCCTGTCCATAGTTTATTAAACAAGCCGTGAATTTCAGCATAAATTAAAAAAAAGTTTTTACAGCTGCGGATATTGCCACGAATATTATATGATATTGTAAGTCTGAAAAAGTCGTGAAAATTCCGCTGGCTGTAGTTGTATTTTGCAAATACACTTTGAACTCGCATACCCGCATATACTCGTTAGACATTATTTGGGCAAGTACACAAAATATTTCCAATATGTTCAGTTTATTATTCTATTGTTCTCACTCTTAAATTAATCTGCAAACAATTAGTAATCTATTTATCAAATCACCACCTTTACGATACTAACAACCCGAAATCAACAGTTGCAGCCCATAGGTGTAAACAAGAGAACTATCCACTAGATTCACTAGAAGTTTGAATAAGCTAAAAAGATAGTAATAGTAGATTCAGCCAATCAATATACATGTCTAGAAAAGAGAGGAAAACAAATTTTTTAATAGATACTACAACTGCAGAGACACAGTAAAAATTCATTGGCTAAAACTGAGGAAACTAACACTACAAATACTTTAATATAAAATATGCTGTACACTCAATAAGTAACATCCAATTATTTTCCCGCACTCCATAATTCCCAATATTTTGCACGCGTTATTTCACGTTGATTCCCTTCTTCATCTGCGCCATACGGCTCTTCAGATTCTTGTACGGATCAGGTCCTCTCTTCCTAACCGGCCTTCGCTGAGAAGACGGTGCAAAGGTAACGGTTCCATCCGCATTTGGCATCTCCCCAGTCTCAGGTCGATAATATACAATCTTCTTGTCTCTATAATCAAGGCTCTTGCCAAATATTGGCGCACTCCATTTGGCAACTAGTTTCGCTGCCCGTCTCGTTATGTCTGCATCGTTGCGAGGATGCTCTTCATAGAAATGCACTATTTTACCAATACCCGACTGACGTAAAAGATCAATCGACATAGGAACCTAAGTTTATCAAGTCGAGAGAATAATAAGCATCTATTTTACTATACGATGACCAAAAAGCATAATCGACTTTACCCGCTCTAGAACTTCAAACAAGCCTCTTTGAATAGCAATGTTTGGCAGGGATGCATCAGGCAAAGGTTCCAGCCACGCTCTTATTGACTCCAATATGTTGTTTTCCAACAGCGTGTCTAGCATGTTAGCTTTCTTAAGAACCCATGTCACATATTCCACACGCTCGAGTTTCTTGACTGCTGGTTTTCTTTGGTTGTTTAGTGCAATATCCCGATCAGCAGCAGCTATCATTAGAGCATATAGTTCTTGAGCTTCGTCATCGCGGGTAGCCTCCAAGTCCTAAATAAATATTTATTCAACGTAAACATACGTAGCTTACATGCATCGCATGCGATAATAGCACAATTCAGAAGACATACCACGTCTTTACGCTTCCTACGTCTACCCGATGATGCCTTTAGCGCCTCATCAAAATCCTTGTCCACTCTTCGCTTGATCTCTTAAAATTGACAATAACAGAGGGAATTAATCTCATCATATCCAAGCACCGGTACGTATGAATGCAGTCAGCATTTTATGAAATACCTTCATATGGTGTTAGTTTTTCCTCACGCTCTACTTTCACAATCTCATCATCCTCAGTGATGATTTCGTCAAATCTTCGGCGACGCTTCTTGGGTCTTGGACGTTGCGTCTCGGAATAATCAGGATCAGCGTTCCGACTAGTGTCAGTGCGTTTCTTGAACTTTGGGAGCCTTATCTTTAGTCTTTTCGGCGAGTCTTCTACTACCGACTCGGGGGAAGATGCTTGTGGTGATTCTCTATTTTGGTCCTCTGCACATAGATGCAAGGGATTTTAGTTTATTAAACATATCAACAGGCCACACAAGCGAATACCTTACCGTCTTCACTAAAATCTACCTCCCCCAAATCACTAAGGTCATCGTCATCACTTTCACCAAATACTTGTTTGTGAAGCTCAGATGATTCAAGTGACATGGTGTTTAGTTATATGGAGTATGTTGTAGCTGCAACGTATTAGTATTGAAACTTTCCGCATATTTTAATGGTTCCACAGGGTTGTTTGGTTTTTTTCTTATTATTATGGTAAGCCGGTTCTCAAACGATGTGGCGAAGCTTGTTAAATAGACAAATATGGGGAGGTCTGCTTTTGTACATACTCAGTCACTGTCACATGGTCAATTATAATTGGTCTATGACTATAAACTCTAATACAGTCTTTGGGGAATTTCGGATTGAAAAATATTGTACCACTCATTCGTTAGGCAATATTATTCGATGTTACAAAGGTTGATAACGCGAACGTCACGTTGTAATGGCTCGAACGCTGATGCAAAAAGTCACCATCACAATCGTAATGGCTCGAAAAAAGCTTAGTCCAATCATCATCCAATTCAACATAATCGTATTGAATGATAGCCGCCAAATAGTAATTAACTATAACGCTATTTCCATCGCTATTGCTGACGAGTTGCGTGCTTTATTGGTCGCTATAAGTGTATTTATTACTAGTGCACCAATTAAACCCATGTAAGCCAACTTGTTTGGGTTTCCTATTTCGTTCTTTTTTTGCTCGATCAAGTTTATATTGATATGTACATGTAAAATCTATAATACAATTTAAGAGTGAGCGAGATACTGCAGACCCCAAATTTCCCATGAGAACCTTTAATCGAACCCATATACTATCGTTAACATTCCTCAAAATATATTTACCATTATATTTTCTCATCAGCTAATTCAATTATCGGCAAATTGTGCAATGTTCAGACAAGTTCGGACGGAATCCTTCAAGCGTTTGTTCACGAGATTATCCATTAGTAATCGGGGTAATATACCTCTGTGCTGTTACAGCACAAACGATGGTATCTCGTTTTACGACGACGAAATTAATAAAGTAAGTATTCTGAGCAATAGTTGCCTGTCGTCTTACAACAGACTCGGCACTATACTTCGTTCTTACAATCTTGCTATGCCGTATATTTCGAGTATGCCTGATTACTTTTATTCCTGGGTTGTTAACAGTATGTTCAAGAATCAATTAGACCAGTGACATTGAAACAGCTGGTTCAATTCGGTCAGCCTCCTTTGAACACAGCAACCTTGCTTGATTCAGCACGATACACTAAATCTGAACTTCCTGTCCGACTTGCTAGGAGGGTGAAGGCTTTTCAAAATCTTCCCTTTATTGTAGGCACCAACCCATACATTATGAATGTATATAATCTATATTGTAACTCATTCAACGTGATCAGGAATTTCCCTGAAATCAATGATGACGAAACGGATAGGGAATTTACGCAATTATTGAAGCAGACAGTCAATTTGCACGCAGAAAATATTCCAACACTAGCAAGAGGTATGCGATTGTTTGTGTAATATATTAGACCATGCGTGGAACTCTTTCGATGCGCAATTGGCAGAGACCGTATGATTGAGACAGAATGATTGTGTTTGGGATTTGTAAACGATCTTGTAAATTTGGGACTGAACTGCTGCTTGACACTAAAGAGGGTGACTGCGTTTCTATACGTATCATCTACTCCTTACTGTTCTGATATCATGTCTATTATTCTTATCTTTACTTACGTAGGTTTCCAGGAATGTAAAAAGTACATGTCGAATGAAGCCATCAAAAGATTTTTAGACGACCTAATTCGCGCTCGCATTGGTATCCGTCTTATCGCCGAACAACACATCGCTTTACATGAAAGATCTGATCCAAACTTTATTGGCATAATTGACGCTCGCACCCATCCTGAGAATTTGATCCGTACTAGAGCAGACTTTGTTCAAAGTCTGTGCGAAGTGCATTATGGATCTTTTCCCGAAATATGTATAACTGGTCAGACGGATACACGTTTTGCCTACGTGCCTGTGCATTTGGAGTATATCATTGCTGAAATATTAAAGAATGCTTGCAGAGCTACGGTTGAGCTGAGCCAAAAGATCGGCAGAAAGGATCATCCTGCGATTGAAGTTACTATATCGCGTGGGAAGAGTAATATTGGAATTAGAGTGAGAGATCAGGGAGGCGGGATTTCTGCAAAGGATCTGCCGTCAATATTCGAGTACTCCTATACTACTGCCAAACAAGAGAATTATTCTGGGAATGTGTTGGGATCTGTTACCACTATGAGCATGCAAGCCGGATTTGGTGGGCCGATCGCTGGACTCGGTTATGGGTAAAGTGTAATGAATATAAGAACGCTCATTCTATTATCAGCTTTGTGTGTAATATGTCCTTGATGTGATTATAGGTTACCGTTGGCAAGGTTGTATGCTGGTTACTTTGGTGGATCAATGAATCTCGTATCATTGAACGATCATGGATGCGATGTGTTTGTGAAATTAAAGCAGATTAATGAAATATTGGACGAAGTGGAGATTTAACTAATAGAGTGCCTTGGAACAGACGGGAAGGAACGAAAGCGTCGGTACGAGTTTGTTTAGCTGTCACCAAAGTCACGCTAACGAGAAAGAGAATAACACTGTAGTTTATGAACACTGCAGAGAATCCAGTTGATGCAAATCTTGTAGTGAGCAGATGAAATCACCATAGGCCGATTTGCGCTGGTTAAAGAAACAAATACTCGATAAATTGTTTAGACAACACACTTTGTGAACTGAACCCTTTGTATTACTTATATTACAGGTCAAACTTTTATTTGAATGGTAGTCATTTTTCCAAGTACGGCTTGGAAATATTCGTGTGTCCAATCTTCAAAAACGTCATCTGTCATTAAATAAAAAAGTAATAAAGATATTAACATGAATACTTCTATCTGTTAAACAGCAAACTGCTTTCTTTTCTTAGTCAGATAGGTACTGGCATATGCTCCTCAGCGAGGAAGCAAAATCTTTCGGATTTCACCATGGTCGATAAGACGGGGAAAGAAATTCAAAATCCTCATTCAAGTCTTATTATCTAGTGAATGATTGAAGACTCACCTTGGAAGTTTTTGGGTTATAGAAAGCAGGCGTACCTCTCAGCCCTCGTGAAAAAAAAAAGGTTTCGTGGATATGAAACTGATTGGTTGAATATATTACTACGTCATCCTGATTATTAATAGCATACAAGATTATCAGATCCTTCGGTAGCAATACAACATAGATTTATTATTATTCTTTTTGCGGCAAGAAATCATATTGTTCCTAGTTACAAATACAAACATTTGATCAAAAAAGTTTTGATAAATAAATGAAGATGCATTCAGTTTGACATTCCCCAGTTTTCGGGAATAATCTAAGGTCGCGATAATCTTGATGAATTATCTTATCAAACTCTACACGTTGCATCTATGCCAAGCATTATTACGCCATTGATTTAAGACATTCCATACGCACGGTCTGTTCCAACGACGACCTGAAGACACAGTAAACGTCATAGCTCTGCAGACCTTACCTATTACCTATCGCGAAGACCTTTTATACCCTCCGCAAAGGGTAATTTTCATCATTTTATGCGTAGCGCCAATCAATTTACGCCATGAAGGGCTCATCTGCAGCCATTGTACGTTCATCTACGAAAATGAGGCGCTATTGTTCAATACTGGCGTATGTTGTACAATTGTGTCATTTGTGTTGTCTTTTCCCAATTCTCAAAACAAAACACACGGACAGGGAATCACTTTTTCTTTTTGGTACACTTTACAAAGTGCGTGTAACATATGGTGATTTCGTTAACAAGCCATAAATCTGTCCGATTGCCTACGTATACCTACATAATCCGTTATCCATTGTATGCGCAATGGCCGTTTGGCTTGTGATCCATGCTATTTTTAGCAGAAATCACGTAGCATTCGCAGATATTCCGCAAATAACCAATACACCTTGTAACACGTGCTCGTTACAGGTATTGCATTCTTGCGCTTTGTTAGTTGACCGCTGTTTATTATGTACAGTATATACGCGTAAGAGCAGCATAACAAAGAGCATAAACTAATATTTAACTTGACGACTGTCTCTCTATCAAATAAAACATGAATGCTTACAGGCTTTTTCCTGTATAACGAATCAAAAATTATATGGCAAACGCATGATCAAACAGGTTTCATCACATATTAATATCTGATACTGACGGTAAATAACCATAATCGGTTCAATAAGGGACAGCTGTCCAATCACAAGCCATTGGAACAAGATCCCGAACGGATACAGTCTTTATTAACTGGTAAATACGAAATAGTCTTTTCTCTCCATGGCTAGAAGTACTACATTTGGATGTATTGCATGCGCTGAGAATGATCACATTTTAATCATGTGACACTTTTTTATTAAATATTCGCATACACAGCCCTCAAAGGCAGTATCCTGTGCTACGAGCTCGCAAATGGACAGTCCCATTCTATCGTTAAAAACACCCCACCCGTATCGGCTTTTAGCGTCGAAATGTGCTGCTTGTTTATTTCTCTTTCATATTTATTTTGTGACTTGTGCGTACAAAAACACAGTTATGGCGTAAATCATTCCTAGATTTGAATCTCATACAGGACAGGTGTCGGTAACCCTGATAATCAAGTTATTGTGTGGCGATGGACTCGTTGCTCGGAATGGAAATTGAGCAACCGGAATTAATGGATACAATAACTGGAAAATGTAACCAGAATGATTATTTATTATGATCACTATTTATTGCCTACAAAAGAAAAGCATCACTACTTAAAAACGCTTCGCACAAATCATTTATGAACAACTGGTGTTCCCCCCAAATCTGCAAACTCAGCTCCCTAAAAGCTCCCACCCCCCCTTATCCTAGCTCATGACAAAGAACGTCGGTGTGATCATTTGCAGACTGTTGTGACTCTTCTCACTTAACCTATTTTCTTATTCATCTTTAAATTCTCAACTAAAGACACTGAACAAATGTCAGGACCGTCTCGCGCTAAGCCTACTAATATCAGTTATGGTGCAACTAGCCAATCTCTCAACACTACCGCATACGGTGCAACTCTTGAAGCGTCTCGAATGCAGATCGCACGCTCTCTAGGCGCTCAGGAACGTCCAGACTATCACGCAGTGGATATTCCGAAAGCTAAAAAGGCAGAAATTATTAGACAGTACTTGGTTTCACCAGACGAGCGTGGCGCCGATATAGATCGGGGGAAGTCGCCTGAACCTTACCAACTTCACGGTGGAGACACTGCTCACGACTTTTACAAATGGCAAAAAGATGTCGAGGCAGAACCCATGAAACGTACCCGCTCACGGTCACTAACTATGCCCCGTGCCTCGCAGATCGAGATCCCCGTAAGTGAAATTAGAGCGCCCGGTGGATTTCGTCGATATCATATGAAAATGAAAGCCGTACAGGAGGGCAAAGAGCCGCCGAACTTTGTTACCCAGAATTCCATTGATTTCTTAGCCATGATCCATCATTTTGCCGGTGAAGATTTGTCAGAGGAAGAAGAAGAAGAGGACGATGATTATGAGCAAATCGCTTCTGAGGACTTAACGCTCATTCCAAAAGAATCGCATCATGCAGCAGTAAGTGCATCTGGCGCTTGTTTACTACTCTTGAAATCCTTCGTCGGTACTGGTGTCATGTTTTTACCGAGAGCGTAAGTTTTTGGTTTTTTTGGCATGCGTGATGAATCGAATGGAGATGAAAGAGGATGGGGATATCACAATTAAGATTATTCTTATTGTTGAAACCAGTGATCGAAGATTGGCATTGTTATGATCGGTTGGAAGAGTACAAACTTTCGCAAAGCAAAATTCTTGAAAGCAAGCATTCGATGGTATTTATATCATAGCATTATTTTTTTTTTGGTATCATTAAATATAAACGTTTAGGTTTCTTAACGGAGGAATGATCTTCTCGACAGCCGTATTGATAGCAATTGCTATCATTTCTCTTTTTTCGTTCTTGCTACTGGTCGAAACACGACAGAGGGTACCTGGGAGCTTTGGTGGTAAGTGTACATAGTACAAGTAGAATACGGAGTCATGTGAATCGATTGCTCATGTGATTTTAATTATGTAGAAATTGGCAGAATATTATACGGACCGCGGATGAGATTGGCTGTATTATTCTCGATTACTATTTCGCAGGTAGGTGAAAGCTTGTGAGTTGGGTTGAAAGGATTGTGAATTATCTATACAGTGAAGTGATATAATTGTTCGATTTTATGCACAAGTCCATTTACTTGTATCTACCAACTGTCCCTGTCTACAAGACTAATTCGCCTATTTCTATGTCTACAGATCGGATTTGTGTGTGCATATATGATATTTGTAGCAAAGAATCTTTTTACAGTTGCCAAAAACGCTCTGAACATGAACATTGCTCTGAAATGGTTTATTATAGGTCAGGTATTATTATTTGTGCCAATGTCGATGATACGTAAAATAGGAAGGCTGTCGTTTACGGCTTTGATTGCTGATGCGTTCATCCTGTTCGGTTTGGGATATCTTTACTACTATGACATTCTCAAATTGAGTCGAGACTCATTAGCCGACATCAAGTTCTTTAATAATAAAGACTTTGCATTATTCATTGGCACTGCAGTATTTACATTCGAAGGCATTGGTTTGGTATGTATTAGTAGTAAAACGTTGGGCAATGTCACATGTGTCACATGATATATGAACATGTGATGGGTGTCCTATCGTCATTTTTATTTTCGTGTTTGTCTAATTGCCGAATATACAACCTATAACATTCTGTTTATCGTTTATTTTTTATAGATCATTCCGATTACTGAATCGATGAAAGAACCAGAAAAGTTCCCCAAAGTCCTTACTGGAGTTATGATCTTCATTACAATCTTGTTTACATCGATAGGCGTTCTCTCTTATGCCGCGTTTGGTAGTAGAGTAGAGACGGTCATTATTCTAAATCTACCAAACGATAGCCCAACCGTACAGGCAGTGCAACTATTATACGCGTTAGCTATTGTTCTATCTATCCCACTTCAGCTGTTTCCTGCAATACGAATAATGGAGCAAGGACTGTTTGAAAAGAGCGGCAAGGATGATACATTGGTGAAATGGCAGAAGAATTTGTTCCGTGCGGCTACGGTTGTTGCTTGTGCATTGATTGCCTGGAGTTCAGAAGATGAGTTGGACAAATTTGTATCATTAATCGGGTCATTTGCGTGGTAAGTAGTAAACATGTTAGTCTAACCAATAGTTGGTATAAAATCGAACATTCGTCGTTGACTTCTACCTCTTCCAATAGCGTACCATTATGTTTCTTGTATCCTCCACTCTTTCATCTCAGAGGAAGAGCTGACACAGTCATTGCTAAGATTCTTGACGTAGGAGTACTTCTGTTTGGAGTATTTGCACTGTTATATACAACCTATGTGACAATGATGTTGTGGTCTGACAATGACAAGTGAGATTGGACAATTACATAATATAGAATTGGCATGATAGATTGGATTATCAAACAATCAATAGTAATTGTATTATCAAAGCAATTTTTTGGGGTTATGTTGTTTGTTATGTTAATAATAAACCCCGACAGAATAGATACATTTCTACTACATAATCATGATTGCAGAGTGTAATGTGAAAATGTTTGAGAACCTTTTCTAGTCTCTTGGAATCATTTGTTTATTATTTTGCCTATTTGGTTCTGTATTGCATTATTGCGTTTCTTCATGGTACTTTCTCTTTGGACTATTCGCTGGTTGATGTAACAGATAATTCAACGGTAACCCCCAATCTCATTTAGATTTGACCTGTGTGTTTGGATAATCGTTAGTACAGAAGATTCTTTGAAGACTTTTTGCTCCCGAAACAGCGGATTGGACGATAGCATGATTAGACTTAACTAATAAATACCCACCGACGTTCGTCTGCGGAATTAATTTTGTTCCGTTCTTTGCTATCTTTGAAACTAGCGATGTTCATTTACCAACAGCAAACTATTATTTGAGAACCGTGCTTTTAAAAGCAAAACACAGTATCCCAACCAATCTGTTGGAATTGTATATCATAACTTTACTTTTACTATACGGGAAGAGAAAAGGAAAAAAGTCAATAATCCACTTCTCTTCATTAAAATCAGATAAAAAAACGTATAACATTCAGATAATGGCGGTTATCTTTCCGCACAGAAATTGTAAACTTCTTGGAACAGGTCTGTGAAATAACCAATCATCCTAAATTGTATAGAAAAAGACGATAGTTGGAACACTTACAAAGGAAGCTGATATTCTATCAAATCCAAGCCATAAAGAAATTTTTTAAGGGACAATCAATTGACCCGCTTTTGTAATGAGCTTTTTGAGACGAGGACATTGAATTAATAACCACAGATAAAGGAGATCGAAAGTTGAAAATCAACAATAACTGTTCGTTTTTAGACAATAACTTGGTGAGAGAGGTTTGTCGCCCGCCTTTGTTTGTATTTGTGATGGTTAAGAATAGCAATCTCATACAGCTTGTGTAATCATCTGATTGGTCGAAAATTGATTACTGTCTATAAACAGGTCCAAAACTTGGTTTCAATTGATGACGACTTCGCCAAGCCTCTCACAGCTGTTATACAACGTGAAATTAATAAAACTCACAGGAAAATGTAGATTAACGGTTTTCTTGCAAAAACCTACACATTAATATAGATTCGCTATTATCACAATGAGTAAATTCGGTGCCGAATCCGAGTCGGAAGAGATAGCGCTAGACGCGAGGCAGTCTAGTGTGAGTGAGGATACAGACCGTTCGCATGCTATTCTGATGCAGAAAACAGACACGGGCCTGAGTAGTGCGTATCTCCATTATTTGGACTGCAAAAAACGATGGAACGAAACCGCACGGATAATTGATATACATTCATTATATAGGCGTTGGCGGAAAAATGCGACTTCAAATGATTGCGCAAAGGGTCATAAACATTAACAGATTGACCGTGTCTTGTAAGGAACCATGTTTTTGAACGAAATCAATGTCTGTTTCGCTGTTATCTAATAATGCCCTGACAAATTCTTCTCAAATTTCAGCCGAGAAATTCTGGGAGCCGGGAGCCGAAGCCGGTGTTGATGTTAATAGTATGGACTTTAACGATATCGATGTAGGTTTGGTTTAGAGCACTGTGTGTCTTCAATTACATTGAACGGTCGTAATATCGTAGTATGATTGATTCTGTTTCCTTCGTGACTCTTAACTATATTTGTGTTCGTTAATTTCAAGGCGAAATGTAGGATATTCTGTGCGGATTTCAGCAAAAGTAAGTTGTTTTGACATATTTGGACTGCTAGGTCGTCAAGTTTGACTTGCTCACGTTGTGTTGACCAAATTTACAGGCAAGTATGCCATAGATGAAAATCTGACAAACAGTACAATCAAGTCGTTCCTCAAAAAAAAGGTAATCGAATCTCGTGACTGACTGTCGTGTACAAGACTTGAATTTTCCAATATTCCTCAGCTATTGATTAACGTTATATTTATATAAAGCGGCCCGATTGGAGTAAAGTGAGATGGATTAATGTTGACGGCGTTTCCTGGGATGTAATAAAGACACTCGCAATTGAATACAGTAATATGCATATTTATTTTAAACATGATTGTTGCGACAACTCTTCTATCCATAACATTTTGTGTGTTCATTCGTCATAGACCTGCATCCATTGTCAATAGAGGATTGTCTCCACGAACCGCAACGCAAGTAATCCTTTACAATCTGCTGTTGAGAGGGGGAAAGCATGGTCTCCGAACATGTGTGCTAATGACATGGGCCCACTGCCCTTTTCAATTTGCAGGTATCAAGTGCGATCATTACTCAAACCATATGTACATTTCGCTTATTCTCCACACTCTCATTAGTCAAGATGGAGAAAACGTCTCGGAAGATCTGGTCAGTGCACCGGGTCATGATTCGAAAAGTGCTTCTCCGACAAATTCTCGCAAGAATTTATTGGAACACGGTCATCGCGAAGGTAGTAAATACTTGGAGGCGCACAAGCTGCTGAGGAAAGAAAAATTGAACGTTATTGTCGAGCATGTTAGCATTTTTATGGTTTCTGGAGGTAACTATTTTTGTTTAGAAAAAGACTAACCAATATCAGACATGACCCTGACAATCGTTTTTCCCATTAAAATGCTCGTATAGGCACTCTTATTACTGTATTTCAGCATGGTGGGACAAGTGTCTATACCCCAATTCGCAATAGGCTACAACGCACGGGAACTCTTTTACGAACATCAGAAGATGTCAGTTTGCTTATGGAAGCTATCATAGACGCGATTGTAGATCTGTGCGTATATAACATTTTTATCGTTGGGGTGTCGTAGCATCCTACATCTCTGTCATTCCCATTCTTACTTATTAACCCGCTTTTAGTGCTCTGCCAATTACTGACTCTTACCGACACCAAATTGCCGATTTGGAAGGCAAAATATTGATTCGGCCGAAAATGCAGTATACTCGAGGTAAGTTTGTATAATCCGTCAGCAACGAAATATGCGCTTGAAAAAGATACAAAAGACTTACCGCACAAACCGTCTTGTCGCGTCGTGTAGAGCTTCACATCATTACTGGTGAGCTGACATTGCTCAGGAGAACTTTGGGACCAATACAGGGTCTAGTTAATAATATGAACCTGCATCATGATGAAAACCATTTCATTAGCGAGATGGCAAAAACTTATTTCACAGATGTGCTGGTATGTAAAGCCGTCGTCCTTACTGATTGTTGCTTTCGGCGGGTTTACTCATGTCTTTCAATTCCTGGCGGGTCTTAGGATCACTGTAATACTATAGTGGATGATTTAGATACGATGACTACTATATCTGAGAATTTGATCAACATGGTTAGTGGTATATTGATAAGTTGGCATGTTGTTAAGTTGAGACCGCACTTATACTGATATGCAAATTGTCCCATCAGACTTTCAATGCTATTTCATACGAGGTAAGCGGTATATCCGTTTAACTGATTCGATAAATTGCATTGCTTGCTTGCAAACTAAAATACTTTTTGACGTGTAGACGAACGAATATATGCGCGCTGTTGCCCTAATGACTGTTATTTTCTCACCAATGACTTTTGTGGCAGGATGTCGGTATCTTGGTTCATTAGTGTTTTTTTCTTCACATTTACCCGTTTGCTAATTATTGTCGTTGTTGTTCCACTTTTTACTATCCAGTCTTTGGGATGAACTTTACAAACTTTCCTGAACTCGATAATGGACTTAACTATTTTTGGAAATGGACTGCCAGTTTTACGCTTGCAATAACGTTGATGTTTAACTATAGGCCTTTGGTTCAGTTAGTTCTGAGAGGTGGTAGATTTATTGCACGGAATTGGAATCAAAAAGTCCGAAAGTCGATATAATATGGTGTCAAGGGTATATCGATTTGGAGGTAATGACATGGTATGCATGGTATGCATGGTAGGAAACATTGTTTTAAATTTAATAATATTATCACCACAATTTCAATATCCAACATTGTTTAGTCCGGGTAATTCGATAGTTATATATTCCATATGCGGGGCCGAGTTCTTTTAAGATAGATTGTAGTAATATAAAATATTGGTGTATATCATTTGCTTTAAAAAAAATAAATGTTTGGTGCTGGTCTGGGCCATTGATCTGTTTTCGTGAGGTTAGTGAATCGATTTCTTATGGTCCAAGTCGGGAAAACTGACGTAATGTTACTCGCCAAGAGGTTTTTTTGGACATCCAGACACATCTGGGGAGAGGGGGATGGTGTTCTGTGATCGATAAGCCAGATTTCTAATTTCTGACTCTTGTGTTTTGTGATCTTAATATGTGTCTCTGCCAGAGTCGGACAAATAATTTCTGGCTTGGTGATTCGCTTTCCTTTATTAGTCGCTATCCCGACTTGGTGATCCCAGCACCGACTGTTGAGCTGGTGATTCTCGACTTGGAGATTAGCGTTATTTATTTAATTAATATTCTGACATGAGGAACATTGCAACATTCTTTATTACTTATTATAGCTTTACAGTAGTTTCCGACTTGTGACCGGCTGTTTCAATGCAAATCTGTTAGGGAAGAGACGTTGGCAAATCTTTTGTTACTGTGGTTTTTTTTTTGCCATAGTGTGTGGGTCGAATTAACAAGCAGTCTAACCATTAAAGTACAACCATTTCCATAATTGATAATCTCGTATATATATTTTTTGACTCACGATTGGACGGGAGTGCTTTTGAATGGGCCACGCGTACCAAAAGGAATTTGTGTGTGTGTATGTGTGTGTGTGTGTATGTGTGTGTGTGTGTGTGTGTGTGTGTGTGTGTGTGTGTGTGTGTGTGTGTGTGTGTATGTGTATGTGTGTATGTGTATGTGTATCTGCATTTGTATTTGTATGCGGTATATGTGTACGTTCTGTCATGTCTGTAGTGCCCCAGTAATAATTAAACGAGTAACGTTCAACCTGTGATTGCCTGCATATTAAATTGAGACAATGGGTACTTGTTATCAGTCTATTACTAATACGGAGATTCTTAGAAGGTTATGGAAATTAAGAGAAGCTCAAAGTTGGGGCCGTCCTATTTTACCACATTCCTTCCCTGCTCACTCTCTTTTCCCACCCTTTCCCTTCCTCCCTCTCTTCTCCCGTCTAATAATGGGGATGAAAGTTATATTGTAACCGATAAAGAGAGCAGATGATTTACCTTTAAGAGATTTAATTAGCGGGTCGTTTGTTCTTGTCCTAATAAATCTAGCTCCATTTAAAACCGTATATCAAAAAGTACATTAAGATTAGGCTGTGATTGACGCGTTAAATTGTTGATCAATTTAGCCATGCATAATGAATTAATATTAGCCAGCGTTAAAACGCTCGCTTCTATTTGACTATATAAATAACATTTCCAAATTCGTGAAACTTCATTAAATCCCTTGTTACAAAATGATTTTTCAACGAAAAATTTTGTAAACGACTTGAAACCATAATATGTTTGGACAATCAAACAGAAAATTGTTTATTTGTAACATAACGCTTAATCAACTTTTTTACCCACTCGTGCTACCGCTGACGGTTATCAGAGCTGCATATCTTATGGTATCGATGTAATAATAATTTTGTCGTAATGGATTAACATTGTATAGCATATAGTAGCTCAAATTCCCTTCTCCCCACCATCACTACTCGCTTCCCCACGCCTCGGTAGTCATGTTCTAATGAAACAAACATTTAGGGAAACACTTTAATTTACGAAATCATTAACGTGCCGACAACACAAACGCTGCCTGCAGCATTATCTTGCTTATTACATAATAGACGTTATGCATGGAAATTTAAAAAAAAAAAAAAAAAGACATTAAAATGAATAAAAAAAGAAGACAAGAAAGAGAGGAAGAAAAAAAAGTAAACGTATAGTAGAGAACATGTTCATATTACAAGATTCTAAACATATGTATATTCTAAGAAATTTTTTTTAAAAATGCTCTTTGTTATAAAGTTTGACTAGTGTATTGATGTTTTTGGTCGCTTTGCGTAAACATTTTCATCTTACGCGTTCCAAATGGTATTCTCATCGGGTATGGATACGAAACCATTCGTCTAAGGGACATCTTTTCGCGTATTCGCGTTGCTTGTAGCCGCTGTTCATTATAGTAAAAGTTTTTGCACATGAGCGGAGTACGACCAACCGTCGGAAGGCTCGAAGCAATTCGTGACCACTTTGGTCCATAGACTTGATAAAAAAAGAAAATATGCTCCTTTTCGACTTCAGAGAGCGGGCTTTTGTTGACTAGTTAAAGATACAAACATTTTGTCAAAACTTTTTGTTTCTCGTTTAAATGAGTAGCGCAAAAAAAAAAAGTCTACTTACTGTTTGGTGACAAGTGGTTCACCCATCTGTAAAAAATGTGCGAAATGCCAAGATAGAGGGACGAGGGAAACAAGAAAATAATTTAGTTAGCATTGTATTATAACACGTTTAGTATTATCGTTATAGAGAACACTTGCCTATCCCGTACTTGCTTGTGAGTACGTCTTGTTTTCATAGCTTGACTGATATCATGCCAGCGTTCCCCAAACACTGAGAATAAATGTCTCACATCTTCGTCTTCTTGTGGTGTCCAATGCCCGGTAATGTTATTTTTCTTGGCAGGCATGTATGGGAAGACAAGATATTGTGTGGGGAATTTTGGCAAATAGGTAGACAGATACAAAGGCGTTCGCAACGATTGCGAAATAATAAAGTACAAGAATAATAATAATTTGGACGAGGAAGGGTAGTGCCAAAAATAATGGTAAGAGGGAGAGTCTAGTTTATTTTTTCTGTTTTCCAAATTTTGTGTTTCGGAAACTTGGTGTAGACGAGGTGTGAAATGTGGTCTTTTTATTTATTTCGGTTTTTGTGGCACAGCAAGTTTATTTTATGGATTATCGCATAAAAAGTAGTATAACTATTTGAGAAATTTACTTGCAGTGAGAGAATGATCCACAACTCTTTTACGGTCATGTGCACCCTGATTAAATGAAGTAAGTTCTACTTTTATGTACATGCAAATGTGTATTCAGTTATATCCGAATATACACACATTACTGTTTAGCGTGTAAATAAGCAGATAACCATTTTTTTTACTGTAAACCATAATAAGATTGTCATCTTCCCGATGAATGACCATGTGATATGTCAATTGTTTAGTACATGCTAAATTGTAACATGTTCTTTGTCAAGGAGAAGTGTTTAAGGTTCTCACACGCTGCCTTGTATAACAAGCATAAGACTACCAGTATGAATTTAAAACAATGCTTAAGATATTAAATATCATTTACAGATTTACACTTAGTTTTCAGTCGGTGCGATTGAATTTTCTTAAATTGGTTAGACATTTGTGTCTATTAACACCGCCTATTCTATAGTTGTCATGGAGATATAATTCGAAATTGAATTGTTAATTAATTTTATATATTGTTCAAAATTTATAATTTTTATAGTGGCACGATTACATACCTAGTGATACAATGTAGAAGCACATTATAATAACCACTAAAACCGTTAAAACTGCTTCTATTATTAACGTCCATGTTGTTATCTTTATCATTATTATTTTTTTACTCACTTGCACTTGAAAATATGATCAATCGCATGATGACCATTGGTATAAAGGTAGCATTAAAACACGTGTTGGTGTTTTGTGATTGTATTTCTGTTATTGCGCTATGGCAATAGTAACGATAATAGGTTTTTTAATTGTTTGGCGGTAAAAATAATTGAATAAAAACAAAAAACAAAGAATAAAAAAAGACGGCAAGTGCAAGTGAGTAAA